GTTATAGTGTATGATACAATGTATTGTCAGTGTACAATGATGAAGAAATGTATGGCATATGAGTACACGTATATTTATATTGTGTGCTTGTTTTGGTAAACTGTAATGCCATCTGGATTGAAATAATGTACAGGAAAACTAATGTTCTAGTTACTGTTGTATCTTCAGATTAAATAAATTCTGCACCTATAGCTTTGATCCAATTTAAAATTCAGGTCATTCAATGAATATTTTTGATCAGTGACTATGTACCTGTTATGGTGCTAGGCACTTTCTACAAATGCCAGCTCATTTACTGACCTCAGCTGCCCACTGAAGAGTATTTTAGCCCTCCTTGCAGATAAGGAAGTGGAAGCTGTCTTAGCCAGTTTGGCTGCTGTAACAAAATACCGTAGACAGGTGGCTTATAAACAACAGAAATTTATTTCTCATGGTTCTGGAGGCTGGGAATTCCAAGATCAAGACATCATGATTCAGTGTCTGTTGAAAGCCCACATTCTGGTTTCTTGATGGCTGTCTTGTCAATGTCTTCGTGTCGGGGAAAGGGCAAGGGACCAGTCTGGGGTCTTTCTTCTAAGGGCGCTAATCCCTTAGAGGGCCCCACTCTCATGACCTAATCACCTCCTAAAGGTCCCCCCCTCCAGATACCATCACACTGGGCATTAAGATTAAACATATGAATTCGAGGAACACAAACTTCCATCTGTAGCAAAAGCTTAGAGGGATAATGGACCCACGACACACAATTCTACTGTCTACAGACCTGGGATTTGAACTCAAACCCAGTGCTTTTGCCAAAGGTCTACACTTCTAAGGGTAGAGGGACTCTGGGAGTGAATAAATTTTGTGTAGACTCAGTAAAACAGTTCACCTAAAAATAGCTCCTCTTTTCCTTTGGGCAAATTACATAAACCACCAAGGAAAAATAACTTGCTCCAAACTGGAACGACCCATCTATTTGTTGTAGACATGAATATCCCAATGTTTTATTACTGTCTCTGCACTGACTGGCAA